TCTGAGTGGGATGGTGTAACGCAGTGTCCTGCAACAGAAGGGTTTGGACCCAATGGCCTTCATGGCCCTTTCCAACTCTACTATTCTATGAAGCAGCACAGAAAACTTTAAATGGGGATGTGTTCAAACCTCATGAAAAACAAAGGCTTTCATACACCAGCTTATACGTCGTCATCTTTTCTTCCAGTGAATATCAGTGACCTAGATTTAGCCTAATGGAAACATTTAAATGTATGTAACAACTCAATCTTGTGAGTTAACCATAATTAAGAAGATGACTTGAATTCTATTTAACAAGCTCCCATTCTACTTGTTGTGATCAAATATGATCACCTGGTTGCCTTTTAACATAATTTCACCCCCAAAATTGCATCTAATAGTATTAAGCACTTCACATACAGAAACTCTGACAAAAGAAATGGTTAAAATTGTGATCAAACATAAACTCAGTTGTACTGGTCTGTTAACCGGCTTTCCATCTCTTGAGAAACTAAAGTTAAGAAAAATTACTTTCAGTATTATTCATTAGATATGGTAAGAATTCACCCTTTTTGGTGGCATGGTTGAAGGACTAAACTGTATGCAGTGTATGGAGATAATTGTCATATTACAGTAAGCTGTCTTTAAGAGATTTTTAACCCTTAAAGGTAGAGGATCACTATTTTAGGTAAAAGAAACATATACTTGTCAATGTCCTTATTTAATATGGGATACAGTGTGGAAGCACAACGTTTAAGATCAATTTCAGCTGAACTGAATACAAAATCATTTTGCTTTAAAAAATGTCCCAGCTTCAAAACACAAACCAAGTTCCTAACAGATAGGCAGTTCTTTCCTAACTGGGTATGATTTTCCCTTTTTTTAAAAAATGTTAAGTGTACTTATTCTGTTGAAAAGTAAAGAAATTCCTTTTGCTAAACAGCAAAACTAGCATCTGTATTCAGTATCAGAGAAAATGCTATCATCAATCCTCTAAAGCAGTGGTTCCCAACCTTTTTTCACTTGTATATCCCTTGGCAGCCTATTTCCATAAATTATACCCTCATATTAGCATAAGTTTTGCAATTAATATAGTTGCTGTTATTTCACATTTATATGCTGTCACTTTGAATAAATAGCCTGATAATGGGATTAAAAGGCAATGGAATAAGGTTATTATGATAAAACCTAAAACAATGAGAAAGAGAACAGATGTAGAGAAAACTCGGAAGAATGCACTCATTGAACATGCTCACAGGGCTCACTGTGATGCTCACTTAATATACATTGGTACCATTGCAACAGCACTTGAATGTTTGCAAAGCAGAGAAGAGTGAAAGTGGAGTCAGTGAGGGACACGCTGCCGAGCATGTGTGCTAAAGTGGTGTGTTTGCAAGCCATTGTTTAGGGAGAGAGATCCCACCACTTGCCAAAATAGCGAAGCGAGGGAACGGGGCTTTTCTTTAGGTTAAATAATATAGAAAATCTGTTCCTCCCCTCATTATACTGTTCAATTAATTTCACAAATTTTGACTTGTATCTTGTCTTGCACTGTTGATGTATGTGCCTTTTCCACCCATTTATTTTTTTTAAATGTACCCCTAAATGTCCTGGTTCGTACACCAGGGGGTATCGATACCCCAGGTTGGGAATCATTACTCTAAATCAGGATGCTTTATATTCTGCTACAGTAGTGTTAGGATACTTGGCCTAACTATATAGATTTTTTGCAACTTTCCAATGCAAAACAGCTCTATTTTAATGGAAAACCCACCATAATATATTGCCTAATATCAAAACACTAGGATACAAAATTCAAAGATAGATAAAATGAAAGCAGCATTAAATGAGTGGCAATATTGTGTTCCATTTAACCTGTCACAGAATCACAACCTAAACATATTAGGATGCAGTCCTGTGGCTGTTAGACAATGTCTGGATGGCCACAGGAGAGGCTGGAATTTCAGCTCCAATCTCAGAAATATGTTGTGATGGCCCTCCTTCCAACCATTGAAGCTGGCATTGTTTTCCAGTGTTGAAGATATACCTAAGAGTTGGTGTTCCAGGGGGAGGCTCTGCTAAGATAGGACGCAGCTTGTCCACCTTATGAGTTACAAGCAGCCACATTAGGTCATGCTGTTAGTTTCTAAGTTTATTGGAAACTGTTTTATCTAGTGTATTTGATGTTTGTATACTTTTGTCATAAACCACCCAGAGAGCTTCAGCTTTGAGCAGTATAGACATGTTGTTGTTAAATTGTTGTTTACTATATTAAAATCTTGGAATAGGTAAAAGAGAATGTTCAAGAAATGAATTCAGTGGTATCTGACACCTTACAACAGAAGTTAATTATTTCAACAATCATTTGTTATCAATGTGGAAAATGCCATGGTTTAAATAAATCTATTTTCAAACTTTTGGAAATTGGTATTATATAGAATAAATCTGATTACCAAATTTCAGAGGATTTTCTGTGTATTCTGCTTACCTGAATGGAAAAGCAGAAGAATCACTTTCTAATGTTGATCACTGTATCAATATATGCTACACAGTACTACAGGAGAAAGCAATACCATGATCTCTTTTTCAATGGTTTTGCAAAATTTGAGGTACCACACCAAAATCAAATCTGGATGACAAATGAATGGGCAAAGCTTGAATTACTCTGGAATATTAAATGATGAGCAAATGATGTTCTTGATTAAGAACATTAGAAAAACCAGGCTGGATCGGACCAAAGGACCACCTTGTAGTAAACCAGTTGTCCACAGGATCCTTTAAGCAGAATGGGTGCAAGACCTCTTCCTAAGATCCTCAACAACTGGTGGATGCAGGCATGCCACATCTGGTAAAGGAGGCAGCATATAGCCAGCAAGACTAGTAGTCACTTCTCCCTCATGAATCTGTCCAGGTCCTTTTTAAAGCCTTCCAGATTGGCTGCCATCCCCACTTCCCATGGCAGCAAATTCCATAGTTAACTATATACTGTGTGAAGTACTCTCTTTTTTCTGTCCTAAACATCCCACCAATCAGCTTCATGGGATGACACTGGGTTCAAGTGTTATGGGATAGGGAGAAAAATTATTAACACTTATCATGTCATCTTAGCTGCTTCTCATAGGGGAGCTGTTCCAGCCCCCCGATCATTTTGTTGCCCTTCTCTGTACTTTTTCCAACTCAATAATGTCCTTTTCCAGATACAACTGAACATAGTATTCAAAGTGTGGTCACATCAACATTTGTAGAAGGGAAGAAAGATTTTGGCAGTTCTATTTTGTTCCTAATTATGCCTAGCATGAAGTTTGCCTTCTTCACAGCAGCTAAACACCGGGCCAACATTTTCATCAAATTGACTACTACTACCTCCAAGATCCCTTTCTTGCTCAGTTGGAAATATTATCAGAATATTCTGCTTTATGTCTAATAACAAGCCAAAATGCAGTATACAGGAAGAATTATATTTGTTAAAGCTTGATAGTGAATACTTTAAGTACTGTTTTTCAAACCGTGTTGTTTATCCTTGGGGATTGTTTGAAAAAGATTAGTCATGACAGACAGGCTTCCTTGAAAAAAATCAGGTTGCCTACCACTATTAATCTTAATTTGGAGCACACTCATTCATGGAGAATGAGTTTGCATACCATGGCAACCCACCCTGCAAAAAAACCCAACCCACATGGGTAATATGGACCCATCCATGGTATACCTGACAACTGATCAGTCTCAGTGTGGATTGTCACCGCCATCAAACCCTTTGGTTCTCCACCTGGTATCCAAGTGGACTTGGCAGTCAAAGCTACATTGTCTCCTCCCCATTGCAATAGCGAGACCTTTGTGTTCACCAGGCCTTCCTGCCTTACCTCACAAAGTGACCAAGCAGCATGCTGGAAAAGCTGTCACTGGTTCACCACCCCTTTCAAAACAGATTTAAGCACAAGAAATTTGCACAGACATTTCTTATTCAAACTTGTAGGCAGTGTTGTGCAGGTGCAGAGCCCTGAAATGTAATAAATAATAATAATGAATGTGATACCTTACCTGAGCTATGTCTTGAGAGGTGTCTGTTGTCTATGTTCAGCAGGCACCAACCATGGATATTGACCTATCAATATCCATGATATTGGATACTTTGCTGCATGTGCTTTACTTTGGGCTCCCTCAACAGCTGTCAAAAGGCATGCTGTCAGGAGACAGCAAAGCTGTGAAGGATCTTTGCTTGCAAAAAAGTGAGGATGCTTTGCCACCTTCATAGTGAGACCCTCATTTTTTTTTAGTGCACCCAGTGACCTCACTTTACTCTGACTCCATTTTCCTACCCTTTCCTAAGACTCAAGGTGCTCAAGAAAAAATGCTGTCCACCCCATTTATGGGAGCACTCACTTTGGACAGCTGCCAAAAGCAAAGCTTCCTTTTGAAAATGGATTTAGACAGGACTAAATTGTGCACTTTTAAAAGGGAAATATGTATCCATTTGCTGCTGTCCTGAACCCACAATAGGGTCAGTCACCCCAATTTGGAAGACAGAACAATCCATTGTGGGGCCAGGAAACTCTAGAACAAGCCATGGGTTGTCAGGGTAGATTGTTGTCTGCAAACAAGCCTCCCAAGCTGACTACTCACCATGGTTAACTATCCATGATGGGTTGTCATTTCAAACAAACCCAGTCACTCTTTTTGTGAAGACCAATGGAACTGGCCAAAATAAACTGATTATATACTCATCCACACTTCCCTGCTTATATGAAGCAATGGGACTTTTTATCATGCCCAGAAACATATTTCATCACCCTGTTATCCCACTTTTGATTTTCTTTAACAATCTAACCAGAAAAAAAGCTTGAGGTAATTTGCAATATTCTGATTGGTCTTAATAAAAAGATATTATACTACTTTGTTTGGAAAGCATACTTTTCATTGTGAAAAATCCAATCATAGTGAAATGAGATCACAGGATATAATTGTGAACACCATATTTTACACTAAGTGTATACAATCCATGAGTGAAACAAAGCAAATGGCACTTTATATGTATAAATATTTATTACCAATTTAAAGACTTAATTTGCTAGAATGTTACATAACTGTCTGTTCCAAATTACTTTCTTATGCAAATATTTTTTTCCACACTGAAATTATCTCACTTATGCCCAGTTCGTCTGTAAAAGATCCTATATCTACAACTACATCATCAGAATTAACTCAAAGTCTGGTAAAAAGAAAACCCCAGGGAACCAGTTAGAAAGATCTTGACACAAAAAAAAAATTGAATATACAAATGCTGAAAAAGTGGTGCTGTGAAAAATTGCCTTAGAATTTACTATACACTTTGTAATAACTTCATAAATTGCTTCTACATGCAAGATAGATCTGATTACATTTGGTGTAAAATATTATACATGTTCTTTACAATTTTTACATAAATTGCAATTGCTGTATCATAACACTTTATGGAATTTTGGAAGACAAACTAAATTAAGAGAAAGATGGGTGTAAAAGACATGACAACGAAGAGCATTTCAGCCATGTTTACATTCTGGGGTTATTTTGGTAGGGCATATGACCTTGTCAGATCCATATTCCTTGTTATTCTAAGTGTTATTACAGAACACATGCATGACAATGACATATAAATCAATCAACCTTACAGAATATACCCGTCACTTAGAATGGCTTGGTGGGTAAAAGAAATAAAAATTCTAGTGAAAGTTGCATTTGGCACCATAGTTTGTCTGTGGCAAAATCCCTACCTTGAAACTTTCCTAGATATGGCACTTGTGGCCTGAAGCTAATATTTCAAGCGTAGCCCATTTGGAAGCCATTCTTCCTTTGATAAGCCCATATTGTATTTAACACCTGTCTACTTTTTCTCTAGAAAAAAAAGTAATGTCCTTGGTCATTATAGAAATAAATGTTTGAAAAGGTGGCGGAAAGACTGGTTGCATCATGCTATTATCTCAAGACTCAAAGTACAGCTATTATCTTGAAACATTTATATCATGAAATTAGTGATGGGCATGAGCCACTATACACAGCTGAGGAAGCAGAAGGACCCCTAAAACACAGTGGGAAGTAACTGAGTTGCATAGTTGAAACTTGCTGGATGAAACTATGTTTTCCATATGTTTGTTGTGGCTCTTTTTAGGCTCTTTTTAGGTTCAACTCTCTTTTTCATATAACCAAGAAATTGCAGTTTTGGTGGGGAATCTAGCTTCCAAATCCAGAGTCATCCATGGCACAAGAATAGAAAGTTTCTTGGGCATGGAAGCATATACATACAGAGGCTGTGTACCATAGCTACAGCAGAGAGATGATGAACCTTTGCTCATGACAGCATACTTAACCAAATAATTTACTTAGATGCTACAAAACATTTTAACAATAAGGATAAAAAAATTTAAGGACATCTATATATCTACAGATCCTTACTTCTTCCCTTAAGGAGTATCTAACCAGCTGAAGTTGCATACCTCTGAAGAGTTCAGAAATGTGTATCTTTTTGTTACCCTGGCAAGAAATCATTTGGCAATTTAAAGCCCTATTATATGGAACACTTTGCAGTTTTGCTTAGATAAGAAGGGAAAGCATTCAGGATAAAATATACATAAATATCCAAGGCATTTAGGCTAGACAAAGTACACATCCAAAGTATTCACTTTTTTGCATCTCATACTTAAAAAAAGGATTTTTGGATAGCAAAAGATTTTACAATTTTAATTTGCACTGCCCCCAGCAAAATCAGAAAAGCACTTTGGAGTTGTTCTTCATTAGTTGTCTGTATCTACATCATTGGAAAGCGACTGAGAGCCTGCCTCAGCTTTTGTGCAATCTGAAACAGACAAACATACAGTGCATGAAAAGTATGATACTATACATACAGATTATTCATTTTTCCATCTTGTGTCAAAGATCTTGGGAGGAAAAATAAGTAATGTATTTCTCCAAAGTAAACAATAGAACTATATAGGCTCAGACAGCAATATATTATGGTACTCTTACAAACTGTTGAACCAACATGCCTTATACCTGTGATATTTACGCTACAAAGAATATGGGTACTTTCCTAAAGAAGCTTATAAATATGCTTAATAATTTGTCCACATTTTAAAAGCATGAGATACACAAAGAACAGTTCTGCAACTAAAATAGCAATTCTTTTCAGACAGGCTGCCCAACTGTAACAATGATCCTATTCAGGCATCTTGATGGTATCTGGTGGGATATCATAGGTTAATTAAGCCATGAATTGCAAGGATATAAGCTACACCCAAGCTGTTTACTATTTGCATTAAAATACCCCAAAACTGCCTTGAAGAGGTATTTTCATGATAACTGAACAGTTAAGAATAAGCCATGAATTAATTTTGAATTAATGTTTAAATCACAAAACTCCTCAGAGTTCTTATTCAGGTATCACATAAACGACCATTGGAAGTGGCATTCAATGGTTGTTAATACAAACAAGAGGCTGAGTGCATCTTGCAATTCATGAGTTTAATAATTTATTTATAACATTTTTATATTGCTTGACAATCAATGTTCACAGCAATTAAAACAATAAAATACACAATAAAATAGTGTAAAAGTTTAACAGTATAAAAATAACCAAATCAAACCTACAAGCAATGCAAAGGTTTAAAATGCAACATCAAATTTAAAGCTAAAACAGGAAAAATTAAAATGCTTGGGAATTTTTTTAAAAAAATAAATCTATCTTCATCAGGCATCAAAAATGATAAAGGTGTAAATAAAGAATAAAATACAGAATAAAGGTGCTAGGCAAGCTACTGTTACAGGTTCATTCCACAACCAGGGTTTCACAGCAGAAAAGGCCTTCTTTTAGGAGCCACCTACCTCTCTTTCTTTGATATGGACTCTAGAGGCAGGACTACTGAAAACAATCTTAGGGTTTAGACAGGTGTGAAGAGATTATTCTTCAGGGTTAGGGTTACGGCTTTGACTGTTAATATAAGCACTCTGAATTGGCCCCAGAAATAGACCAGCAGGCAGTACAGGCAGAAAAGTACTAGCATCACATTGGCCAGTACTTCTCAACAATCTCAATGCCCTATTTTGAACCAGCTGCGATTTGCAGACTTTTCAAGAACAGCCGCACATATAATGCATTAATCCAGATGAGACATTTTCACAGTATGGATAAGTAGCTAAGCTATAGCTTTCCAGATAAGGATATACTATATGAGTGTTCCATGCCACTGCAACCACCTGTGCCTCTTGTGGCAATGCTGGATCAAGAGTAGCTCCACTCTATGAATCTGATCAAATAGGCAGTGCAACCCCCTCCAGAACAGACTGAAGGTCACTTGGCTGGGCAGACAACCCATCCAGTAAAAGTACCTTCAATTTGTATGGATGAAGTCTCGGTTTGTGGTAATGGCCCTCATCCAGTCCATTACCACATCCAGGCACTGGTTCAGAACACCAGGGCCTCATCTGGATTTCATGAAAAATATCAAAAGAGCTGGGTGTCATCAGCATGTTGGTAACACCTTGGTCCCTATCTCCATATAACCTCACACAGTGGTTTCATTTTGATACTGAACAGCACAGAGATAAAACAAAGCCATAACTGCTAAGGGTGAGAGTAATAATCCCTCAACACTACTTTCTGGAATAGGCCATTTGAGCAGGAACAGAATCAATGTGGTACGGTGCAGTGCAACACAGTGCAGTGGTCTCCCAGCTCAGACAGGATGCCATAGTAGAGATACCAAAAGACACTGAGAAGTCCAAGAGAATCAGTACAATTTACTGCCAGATTCCAAACTGTGGTCCAAATAGGTTGGAAACACAAATACCCATTCTCTAAACTATTCTGCGCTGTTTATATACAATCCACCCCGCTCAAGATATATTTATGAGAGAATATCTAATTTGCACATAAACTCTGTTGTTGTTTTGTTTTCAGGCTGGCACTAGAATTCAAGGAGGATCCAATCTGGCATTTGTAATTGTAATGTAAAGAAACCACATCTCCCCTGAGAAGAAGGTACAAGAATATGAGGCATTCCCAATTCTACTGGAACACAAAAATATAATCTAAACAAGTATTAAAAAGTTTCTCAAAACAAATGTTCTTTTATCCAGTTTCAGTACTTTTTTACTGCCTCCGATGTTTGCCACCTTTTTTTAAATTCCTAAGACACTTTTAGGTAGGAAAGAAAGAAAATGAACTTTATGTTTTGAGGGACAGCATTTCCCCTCCCCAGCACCTGGCATCTGCAACAACTAACACTACATACGCGTGTTTACTTTCCAAGGTACAGAGGGGATGGAATTACAGAGAATTAAATAGAATAACTGCACACAGCTTCTCCATTATCCCTTCTCTAAAAGGAATGAAAGAATTGCTAATGAACTGCCAAGTACAATTCTTTGTGCATCCTAGCCAAAAAGCAAGTGGCAGCTGCATAGTCTTGTCATGCGAAGTGTGTGGCACAGGAAGGACTGGCAGTGCCAAGGAGCATTTTCTAAGGGAAAGAGGGAAAAATGTCTTCATAAACCATAAACCTACATTTTAAAAAATAAATATGTTCATTAAAAATGGTTTCTGAAAGAGTAATGGTTAAAATCAAAACCTTTCACGGTTTACTTGATTTTTAAACAAATCCTACAAAGATACATCATGCAACTAGTCTGTTTTACAAGACTGTGAATGCTTCGCTGGCAGATATAAAGAACCCAAGACCTCAACTTACCATTTCATAGAACTGTGCCTGCTCCTCCAAGTACAAGCGCATCACACTGTTATAGTCATAAATCCGGTTACTGTGGAAGTGATTCATTTCAGCTGTAAATTAAGGTCATGTCGCATATTAAAAGGTTAATATCAAAAAGACTGTTTTTTACTGTAAAGGATAAAATGTTAATTCTGTGAACAGAATCATACAGAGAGGCAAGACCCTGGACTTGGAAACTTTCTCAGGATTAAAGAGGGACAGGAATGGTAAACAATTCGTATTTTAGCCCCAAAGCTAAATTCATGTTCATATTTATACATGAATAAATGAACAAATACAAAGCCCAATAATAGCCCACTCCCACACTGAAGTGCTTTTTAGCTTCAAACTGCTGCAGGGATATGAACCTGAACAAAGTTATCCCTGGAGTAAGTGTACTGTGATGTTTATCACTTTAGTCTTAGTTCCTTTAAATATATTTTGCAAATGTTTGTTTATTAATTTATTTGTTATATTTATATTCTGTTTTTTTCTTTCAAAGAACTCAGTGCTGTTCCAAAGTCACCCAGTTAGTTCCATGGTTGAGTGGAGACTAAGACACAGATCACTTGAATCCTATTCCCATACTCTTAACCACTACATCACACTGACTCTCCAGTTATACTTATTAATAAATGAAGACCTGAAGGAATATTTCAAGAAACTTATTCTAAGTGTAGACACAGAGCATGAAACAGCAGAGTAGAAAAAGGGCAGTTCTAATTTTAAAAAATAGAATTATATTTTACAAGTGAATGCAGTTTAAGAGTAAAAACCAGCATACATTAAAAAAACAAATTTTCCAAATGATCTACTTGATCTTCCTCAAAAGTAAGTCCTCTTTGCTTTTGTTTAAGTTAGTCTTAGGCTTATATTCAAACTACCATCAACCAACCAAATAGACATTACATATTTTGATCTCCAAGGACACTACTGGGCATTCGTAACCAACTAGTAAAGAAACCCTCAATAGAATAGAAGGACTGTAAAGCCAGTAAAGATGCTCAGCCCCCAACTCTAAATCTTCTAATTGCTTACTATATCAGGTTGTATGAGAGTGAGGTTACTGAGTGGAATTCAATATTGTTCAAATATGGGTTTTTCCTCCCCACACATTCTGCTGCAGTCCCCCTATCTTACAACCTATAGGGCCGATTCTGAGGACACACAAGAAATTGCAAGGGAGAGAGGATGGTTCCCTCCCCTGCATCCCACTAATAGAAAAGATATCACTGGATTCCAAATACTACTGAGTAATTGTTTGGAAAAGCAATAAAGATTAAAAGGAAATGAACAGAGTATTGCACTTTTGATCAGAAACAGGATTTCCCCTTTCCTCTGCCCATTTAGGAGAATGCATATATAGTCACAGGAACACTTCTGCAGCACATCCTATTACATAGGGAACTTGATTTAGTTGGATTCAAAGATGATCTTTAATACATCACTGAGATGGTATCAGGGCCAGTCCTTCCATGAATTCTCCATCTCAGGAGGAATGGCAAATTGGGATGCCTGCTGCTGGGAAGGCTTCACTCTACCTCAAAAATACACCCCAGAGAGTGCTCCAGACAACCCACCTGGCCCTGCTTTCCTGGTGCAACAAGTGCTACAACAAGAAAGTGACCACAGTCCAAGTAAAGTCACATATTTCATCAGTGCTTCTGGACTGTTTTCAATTTATTATAGATACTTCAGACCCCGTAGTCCACAGCAAACATGGACAACTCATTCCGCTGTGTAGTTTTTACTGCTCTTGCATTTCAAACAACCAGCAGTTAAAGCTGATGGCTCTAATAAAATGAAGAACCCTCTAGTGTTTTCTTAGCCTTTGGTCAAGCAGAATTTTAGAGGAACTTATGAAGGGTATGTGTTCAAAAATGATTACCAAGATAAAGAAAGACACACTTAGGACTCAACTGATTCACTGCAGACATTAATTTATATATAGTATCTGAAAGTTCCTTTCAGATTTCAAAGTAGCCTTTTTACTATATTGCACAGTGAGGAATGTCATATCATGGTGATCATTATGAAACTGTACCTTGTAAAGTCTAAAACAGAAAAATGACATACATAGTGTTAAAAGATAACAGATCTTTGTTACATGAACAGAAAGAGAACAAACAGGAAGTCTACCTATTGTCTGAATTTGTGCTAATTCTGTTCTAGATGACTCCTACTGCATTTAAGTACCATCTAATATACTTTCCATCATCATATTTTATTTATAGAGTGCCTAAAATTACTCTTCATATTTGCTTTCATTATTCCTTTCTAACCTTAATTTCAATCAGCAAAAGAGATGATGGAAGTGAATGCTAAGTGTACTTTACCCTGTAGTGCAAATGACATGGTACTTGCGCGCTTCAGCATGTTTTGTTTATCCTGTGGGGTAATTTTGCTAGTAGCAACTAGTTTATCACTTTCTTTCACTTTTTCTATTGCTCCCTGGTGAGACAAAACATTACATTAAGCATCACTGAAAACATATTTCAAATATTATCTGAGCCAAACTACCTTCAAGTAGTAGTACAAATAAGAGTCCAAATTTAAATTTTCAAAACAAAATATTAGGTTTAGACTGTAAAGGCACTCAGGTATTCTATGAAGTCACAGGGCACAGAGCTGGCAGCAGAAACAAAGGATAAACACAGCTATAGTAACATAACCATTAATTTAGCATATGCAATCTGGTTTCAAGTCAACCTTGGCTTTGTGGAAGGGGGAATAATCAATACCCTCCTCCAATCTCTCATTTATTGTTGAGAAAGTCATTTTGAAATATATAAGGTGTAAAAGCACTATTGTAGAGTTACTGTAAGTTCTGGAAATTCTCAGTTTATATCACAGTGTGTTTCCAGTTTCCTCAGGCATAAGATTTATATAGCACACACCATACATGCAACACATCTTCTAGACCCTAGAAGGCTGTCTAGCAGGGTTGAGATAGCAGCCAATTGACCTATCAAATATTCCCATGTGACTGGTCAGGAAGAAGTGGCATGTGCATGAAAAGCAGCACACTCATTCTTGTGCACAGCAACCCATTGTTTGTCATTATGTGCAAACCAAGTCAAGGACTCCATAGAACTGATATTCTCACAATACTAGTATTCATCTCTTTAAAAGCACTAGTGCAAAAGATTATATTTTACCTTATGCGCACCTATGATATCTGGGAAGCAACCAAGAAATCCTTTATATTCATGATTAGTTTCCATCAGAAAATGAAGATCTTTCTTTGGCTGATAAAAAATGCACAGTAATTAATTCTGTAACACCATTCCATGTTAGTTTCACAATGGAATTGAAAATTATATAATATGCATGAGAAAAAGAAAATGCCCTAAAATTTGCACTTTAAACACATAGATGAGGAACAGTTGCTACATTGAGAAGAGAAAAGACACATACAGTTCTCAGTTATGTTATGTATATTTTGCTTTTCAGATTGGAATTCTGCTTCTGTGTATGTACAGCTCTATTTAGATCATGAAAGTAATTTTTTATCATTTTATCATTAGGCACTGCTAAGTTCTTTGCCAACTATTCTGTGTGGTCATATACATTTTCTCCATTCTAATATAACATGTATACCTGTTCTGCCACAAGACTGGCAATTTCTTCATATGTTTTTCCTGCTTCTGTTATTGCTTCATTCAGATCAGTCTCTCCTAAAAACAAAAGTCACATTGAGATTTTCAATTCAGTAAAAGTTAATATTCAAACAAACTGATACCAATATAGCTCCCCTAGTAATAATATATACATTTTAAAATTCTGTTTTAAAATAATGTTTCTTGGTAGATAAGCTGATCTTTACAAAAACCAGAGGAAGAAATATGCATGAATACTAGTAAACCCAAGTAGATAGCTAATATAAAATGTAAGAATTGCATGAATGCCAAAATACATGTGCACTAGAACTTTCATTTGACATAGCTTTCAGACTCAGAGGCTTACAGTGATCTAGTTCAGTCCAGGGGGAGCAGCCATCCTCTTAGATCACATTTTCCACTATATGGGCTTTTTGCTCATCTAGCTAAAACATCTTGGAGGGAGAGGGAAGGAAGCTGGAAGTGCATTAGAATAGCTTGTATCCTGTCCTCTCCAGTCTCTCTTCCTCCTCCTCCAGAAACACGCCCTTCTCCCTGTTTCTGAGGTTGCTTTCCTGACCCTGAGTAGCAGTTCTTTCTACATGGGTGTGTGGGAGAGGATGTAGAGCTCCAAATCCCAGCTCAGAGGTCAGAGTGCCATTTCTGACATCAAATCAGAAAATCAAGGCTATTCTATGGCCCCTCAGATGTTAATGAAAGGTTGCATGACTGCCCTGAATTATGGTTTGATCCTTGCAAAATTATGGCTAGAACAAAGATGACTGCATAAAAATTGTAACTGTGTTAGATCTTAAGGGTGCAATCCTGCATGCCTATAGTTTATTTTGCTAGCACTGCATGTTCAAATGTTTCTGCTTAAAAATCTAACCATTAGGGTATTCTCTCTGGCACATTCAATATTGGAACAATAGAATAAGGTTTCATATACTACATTCTCAGTCCAAAAATAATCCAGAAGATTTATTTTGGATATATCCACTTAACAAGGCACAAATTCTGAAAACAGCTATATGTTGTTTACAAAGAAAAATCAAAATAGTATTTGAACAAAAATACCTTGATAACCGCTGGTACTGAAAACCAGTGCTAAACCCTGTAAAGCTTTTCCTATTTTCTGATATTCCTTGGGTAATGCTGAAAGGAAAAATTATGAGCTTAAAATATAAGCCAGTTAAGGTAGTAAAACACAACAAGTAACTAGATACAAAGCACAACCTAGACTCCCTGCCAAACCTACATTATAAGGTTGACTGATTGACTGGATTTATATGTTGCCCGATTAGCCATAGGCTCTCTAGGTGGCTTACATAAAATCAATGCCATAATACAATGCAATAAAATCAACAAGCACAATAAAACCAATAATTGGCTAGCATTGGCTAAACTTCTGTGATGTCAAAGAGGGCCCCATAAGGCCTGTACTGGACAGGCTACTATTTAAGTGGAAAGTAAACTACTGCTTCTGAAATTCAGGGTCTACTGGCAGCTTGGAACCAAATTAAACAATGGATTATGCACTGTTGCAGGGGCTTTCAGTGAGCCTGTGCCCATTTGCTAGGGAACAGGCATATTTTGGAGTGTACCTCTTTTAAAAAATACTACATCTACAAATGCAACAGTCTTCGCACTCTTTCCAGAGAGTTAAAGTGCTTTTTAACTGGATACTTCAGAAGGCTCATGAAGTATGCATGCAAATAGTCACACTGCACAGCCAAACCTGACATAAGAACAACAGTTAGTTTGTTTTCAAGATCCACATTCTGAATGACTCTGGAAGTTTTGGCATGTCCTATAAATCCAATTGCGCTAAAGAAAACTGCTGTGCTGTTGGGCTGTAACGATTTCAGGCAATGTCTATGCTTTAACAGTATGATCTAAATATCTAATATCTCAAAAATATGCTAGATAATACATTCATCACTACAAAAATGATATCATAAAAAACCTGTTTCCCAGAAGTGCAGTTTAAGCCCTCATTAATATATGGCAACATCAGTACATTAACCAGAAGATACATTCATTCTGATATATAAAATCTTGAATAAACAACAATACATCCAGTGTGGTACTTCCTTCAAAAGGATTCCTGCCAGAAACAGAGCTTTCAAGTGTTTATGAGTCATGGAAATATTACTTTTATATGGCCTTTATTATATTCACTGTCTGGATACTATGCTGATAGTCCTTGCGTTTTACAAAAATAAATGCAAATTACACATGTTATAAAAACATAATATTATTGAGAAATGCCATTGAACTGCAAGGATGTGTGAGGAATGGTTGGATTTCCTTGGACTGACAACCCAAACTCTGACTGGATTTGTCTCTGTCCTAAGTCCACTTTATACTGAGTGTTCCTAAGGGCAACTATAGCAAGTGTTTGCATGGACATCCATGAGGCCAGCTTGCTCACAGGACTTGTGCACACCTGCTTGGCAAACAGAGTTCTGCTTCCACACATGACTTATTGGTTTTGTGTATTTTATGTACTGTATCTTGTACAAGCAATTATGTAATTTGTGTCCCTTGTGCAAAGAATTATGAACTTTGCATACTTGGCACGTAAGAAACCACAAGCATTTCCAAGCACCTGATCTTAGCCCTGCTTGCTTCCTGGCCAGTACTAAGCGTAAGAAAGAGGATTTAATGAGCTCAGGTGAGCTGGATTCAGACCTGCCTGATCTTTGCATCCCTAATTAAATATATATACAATACTTACGCCCAGTGCAACGTTTCCAGTGTTCATGACCCACTGTCAACAACTCCTTAACTCCATCATCCATGGCTTTGGTGAACCTGCCAACTGCATCACACTTCTGTTCACTGTATAATGAAATGACCAAGGCATGGTTTTTACCTTATTTATAGTGGCTAAGATTTATTTACTGTTATTTGGAGAAATGGGGTTTTGTACATTACCTAGTGGGCTACAAACATCCCCTCTTCTACCTGTTTTACAAAGTCTAACCTGCAGTATGACCCTTACTGTGGCTACTTCTTTAGATGTATAAAACAAAAATTGTAAAAAAATAAAAAACTAGAACAAATCACAGGCAATAGTAATCCAGAAGCAGGAGTCTCAGCATAGTACATGTGTTCATTGCTGTTGCAATACCTCCCAAGATAGAACTAAGAATATTAGGATGTTGCCTTTATATCATTAATCACATGTGCACGTGTGTGTGTGTGTAAAAATCCATATTTGATTAATGTCAGTAATAAGAAACAATTTAAAGTTATAAAAACAAGTAATTTCCAATTCTATTTAGAATATAAAGTTTACAGGAAGAACATTATGACTGCTTAATAACCCTGGATACAGTGCACCCTCTATACTTCCATTGTCTTAACCATGTAGTACAGTTTTAGGAGTGAGTTGCAAGAATGCACACTATCTTCTTTGATCTCGTTTCTCTTGTGAACATTCTCCTTGCTGGACCTAGGGTTAAGTGCAACATTAGTAAACCAGAGTAGGACGTTCTAGATAAGAGAACCCAGTTAGTATTAACCAGGCTTGATGTCAGTTACAATTTAATCCTTAATCATGTATTGAGGCAAGCATGGGAAGGACAGGGGGCTTCATGGGAAAAACAACCTGGGAGTGCAGAAGCATGTGAACATAATCTGCCTGCCAATCACTTCCAATCTTTTAACTACCATTGCCAATATAATCTCTAAACTTTTAAAGTCTAAAGCATCATTAAAGTCAGTGGTGAGAATGTGCACAAGAATATATGGGGTCTGGATGCAGAATATATGGTCTTGCAGTAATTCTAATTCTTTTTCCAAGTGGTTAAAAACATTGCAGCATGACATATGCATCGGCCCAAGGACATCAGTAAATGTTAATAAAGCAGAGCAGTGTTAAACGTGCATCGGCGCTTGTGGTTATGCTCTGTTCTAGTATTTATGAGTACTTCTATAGTCTTGACTGAAGATGCGAGTCCACAACTCTAAAATAGTCTCTTCTAAGCAGAACAGCAGAAAGTTTTGGATTCTACTTAAGATATTTATTCATACAAGATTAATTATACAAAGCATTTCATTTTTGTATTTTTCATCAAATGACAGTTTTCGTAGTATTGGGGGGGGGGTGTAAAATCCAACATCTTACATTTCAATCATGTCCAAGTCAGGGGCTTCTGGTTCCATAGTAGAAAAGACCATAACACCTACAATTTCATCCTTTTCTGCCTTCCTTTTACCTGTTTTCCATTCCTAGGGAAAAGAACAAGTGCCATGCTGAACAGTCTTCTCCCATACAGGAGCACTGCCTGCTCCCATGCTCTTTTTCAGCCAAACAGAGGGTTCTGACAAACATTCAGGTTCCTTCTACACAGCAATTCACAACAGATATGCAGACCAATGATCAAGCATGACCAAAGCTGTGATCCAAAGAGCCATTTTATTTACCATCTCAAGTATGCAATGACTTTTAACTTCTTTTTCTCCCAAGTTGCAAAAGCAGTTTATCTGTATTTGCATCTTGGTGAAGGGTTTTTTTTAATGAACCCCAATGGGCTATTGTTTGGAACAAAATAATGTTAAAATCCCTGCAACAAGAATATATGACCTGACATGTGCCGAAGGAGGCTCTTTAGATTTTGATTTGGCCTGTAGCATGTGTTCTAGACTTAGCTATAAATGGACCCTACCTGACCATTCACTGTCCACTTTCATTTTAGTTCTAAACAAAATTAAATAATACCTTCTAGCTTTTTATCAAATCATGGCATAGAAGATACTAGTGTTCATGACAAAACTTTCTATGAGAAAGTGCACTCCTTTCTACCAAGTAATTTTCTCAAAAAAGATGGAACCAATGGTGTTCATTCTATGCCATTACAAATGCCTTTGATGTGTCTAATTTGTGACAAACCAGAGTACTCACTATTATTTGGAAAGGTATCTAGTGGCACTGTTTAGAAATAATTTTAGATTTTTCACCCAAATAAAAAGATGGACCATCAATCCATCTCCTTTTGCTAGCCACACTTTACACAATTTTTTTTTTAAGAATGTGTTTACCTTTTCATCACGGAAACTAAGGAACTGCTGAAAAAGTTCACTTTCTGAAATAACTGGATGACGACACATCCTGGTCATCCAAGCTTGTAACCTCTCCATCCGCATTTTGATAAATTCTTCTTCAAAACGCCCTGCAGGACAATGAGTGACAATCATTGCTATTCATGTTTCATACCACCTATTTTTCTCTATTCAAGACTGGCAATTTTCATATCAATACCTGTAAATAACTGTACCCCCTGAATAACCTAATGAGTTTGTGAAAATATACACATTACCCAAAGACTCCTATACCCTAAGGGTGAAATGAGTGAATTTCCTCTCACACGTGAATTTCCCCTCTTCCTTCCCCAGTGCAACTCCCCATTCTGGGGAGCTCTGGGGGGTCCTTCCCATTCTGCTAACAAAAGCTGTTCCTGGCAGGAGGAGTTGGCTGGACATCACTCAAACTTTTTTTGGTTTCGTTCAAGTTACTGATGCTCAATTTCCACCCAATGCTTTTAGGTTAGCAAACACTTTTGTCTGTTAAACACAGATTTCAGCTAAAGGCAGTAAGTCTGTTTGACTTAGGAATATTTAATTTCACTTCAAGAATGGTGGAAATTTGTTTTGTGTGTAGTTCTATAAAATAGTAAATATGGAAGTTTAGAATGGAAAAGCTGTACTACATTGTATTTTTATTATTTATTGTTTTTAATTTTCCCTCCCAATACTAAGTCTCTAGAGGCTTACAAATAAAACATATTATATTACACTATATATATTATACTGTAATATATTATATTACACTATATTATATTATATTCAATATAATATATCATAATTATATAATTCAGTTTTGAGAAATTTACCTGTAACTTGTTTGTCTGGAAGAGATGGAATTGGAATGGCTGATCCAAATTTAATCAAGAGACGCTCATATAACCAGTCAAAGTGTTTATATCTATGGTTGACAGATCGATTAGTGTTCTGTAAAGGCAGACAAAGAGTTCATACTTATGACTTCCCCAAAATATGTTTACTACATTTGTATTGGGCATTATTCAATTGTTTGATGTGCAGTTTTTATAAACTATACAATAATAATGGGGACATTTTGAGATGTCACCTGATGAAATACCTCTGGTACGTACTTACTGTACATGTAAGTTGATATTCAATATAGCTCTTCAGACCATACATTTTAGAACCCTTTTTTGGATCAGCCACAACACAGTCAAATGTAGAGGTAGGATAAACCCACATTGGACCATAATCTCCAATCTATAGGACAGCAAAAATATGTTTTAACTCTATGCATGCTAAACTATATCATATCTAATGTATACATTTAGAGCCTGAGATCTAGCAATATCATCTGATAGCAATTAGTACCTAAAAGATTCCTATGATTTCACATTCTCAGTCTTAACAACATAAGAAAAGCCATGCTGCATCAGACCAAAGGTCTATCCAGTCTACCACATGGTGGCAAACCAGCTGCACACAGGATCCCTCAAGCAGGATGGGTGCAAGTTTTCCACCTGCTCAAGCTGCTCAGCAACTTGTGTATGCAGGTATGTCACCACAGCACACAGTCAGCAAGGCTAGTAGCCACTGATAGCTTCCTCCCTCATGAATCTGTCCAATCCCCTTTTAAAACTATCCAGATTGATGGGCATCACTACTTCCTGTGGCAGCATATTCCATAGTTTAACTATACGCTGTGTGAAGAAGCACTTCCTTTTATCTGTCCTAAACACAGGACAGCTTCATAGGATGACCCAGGGTTCAAGTGTTAAAGGAGAGGAAGAAAAATGTCTCCCTCTCTACTTTCTCAACACCATGCATTATTTCGAACACCTCTATCATGTCTTCCCTTACTCGACTTTTTTCTAAGCTGAACAGTCCCAGCTGTCATAGCCGCTCCTCACAGGAGTGCTGCTCCACCCATCTGATCATCCTTGTCGCCCTTCTCTGCACCCCCTCCAATTCAACAGTGTCCTTTTTCAGATAAGGCGACCAGAACTGAATGAAATACAATACAAACCTTGTGGAAGCCATGCTGATTTTTTTTTTTTAGCAGGCCTTGATAGTGCTTTCAAGCAGTTTACCCCAAATGGATGTTAAGCCAACTGCCTTGTAATTTCCTGGATTCCCCCTGGATCCCTATTTAAAAATTGGTGTTACACTGGCCATTCTCCAAGCCTCTGGTACAAGGGCTAATTTCAGGGACATGTTAAATATTTTGGTAAGAAAGTCAGTGATTTCATGCTGGGGTTCTCTGATAACTCTAGGATGGATACCATCTGCACCAGAAGACTTCCTTAATTGCAGCTTGTCACCAAAGTTGAGAATTCCATTGTTTGTCACTACTATCTGCCCTAGACACCCTTCCAGTACAGGGTTAAAGTTTAAGTCCATTATCACCCAATGACTCCACTGTCCTTAGTTGCGTTCTTTTGATATAGTTAAAGAATTTGCTATGGTTAGCCTTGATATTGTTAGCTACATGTTTCTCAAACTGTTTCTTTGCTTCTCTGATTGTCTGCTTGCATTACCCTGTTGCAAACTTGTGTTCCCATCTGTTCTTTCAATTTGAGCAAGACTTCCATTTTTTGAATAAGGCTTTCTTCTCTATAATAGCTTCCTTGACTTTATGTGTTAAGTGTGCCGGTGATTTCCTGGACTTTGAGCTACCTGAGCTACCTATTCTCACTTGTAGCATGCATATTATCTGTGCTTGTTGACACTATAATGTTACAGTGTTTTTGAGTAATTTCCATGCATCTTGTGAAGTAATGTAAACTCCTTGATTCCCCTTTTCCACAGTTCCCTCATTTTTGAGGAGTTTTCTCTTTTGAAGTAAAACACAACTGTGTTCAACATTTTTGACAAGTCTTCCATCAAATACCACCATTAGTGCTTCTATGGAGGAATCTTCCCACTTTAGATTATCAACAATGTGGGACTATATGCCCTCCTTAATATAGAGGGCAATACCTCTGCTGGTATGCCTTTTGCTGTCTTTCCTCTATAGTTTATATACAGACATGACTGTATCACACTGGTTACCTCCACCTTACCAAGTTTCTGTAATGCCCACTATATCTATTTCCTTATTTATCACCATGTACTCTAGCTCTCCCGTGTTGTCCCTAAAGCTTCTAGCCCTATGCACAGGTCCCCCTCCAGCCACATCCAACTATTATTCTGGCACTGTATCCTCTCCAACTGGTTATCATGGCTTCCTGTAACCTTGTTTGCTAACCCCTCCCGTCCTACACTTGGTCAATTTTAAACTTCCTCCCCTTCGTCCACATGGGGATGATTTACCTGAATCTGATGTGTCCCAGCTCCTGCTGGCATTCTACCAGGGTTCAGTTTAAAAACTGGTCTGCCACCTTTTTAATGCTGCATGCCCGCAGTCTGCTTCCATTCCAGTTCAAGTGCAGCTCGTCCCACATATTTTGTCCCAAAATGTTCCCCAGTGCCTAACAAATATGAAGGCCAACGCTACCATTTCATCCATGCACTGAGACTCAGCTGCACTTTTCTAGCTGGCCCTGAGTGTGGAGCTAGTAGCATTTCAGCCACCTTGGAGGTCCTGGATTTCAACCTTCCACCTAGCAACCTCAATTTGGCTTCCAAGACCTCAGGACTACATTTTCTAATGTCACTGGTGCCAACATGGATCATGACCACTCACTCCACCCCCATTTTCTATAAGGCTATCTAGACAACATGTAATATCTACAGCCTTCACACCAGTTAGGCAATCCACCATGCAGTCCACATGTCCATTGTAAAGTCATCTCCCTATGGTTCTAATGAGAGAATTTCCCACTACCAGAAGCCCCCCAGTCCCCTGGAGAGGTATCCTCTGTGCGAGAGGACACACTTGCCTTCTCTGGAAGATTTCTATTTCCATACTTATTTATCTCAGTAACAATGAACATAGTATGAAATTTCAACTAAACTACATATGATGGTTTAGGGAGGGAAAAAATCACTAAAACTTGATCGTGCAATAGAGCGTTCAGCAACAATAGTCCATGATCACTATTAAAAAGAATGAGGACGCATTCCTAACTTGGAAGGTTATTGCCACCTATTTGAGCACAGAGGCAAGGATTGCTACTGTGTTCCTTTCATCGTCAAAAAGTTTTAGACAGATAATTTCAGCTGTCAAAACATTTCCCCCTCCTCACAAGGGAGAGATGCTGACACACTACCAGGACTCAGCAGATGACAGCAGTGCCTCAACCCTCCCTTCTCTATTCCCCAGAATGCCCTCCCCCCAGTACCTACCCCAAAGACAGTCTTTGGAGCCACAGGCAACACAGAAAGAATCATGCCAGCAGTGAGAACTGAGCAGGGTCCTCCAAAGATGGAGCACCTATGGCAATTTTGGAAGGCATTTCCAGGGTGGCATTAGAGATTCTGCCTTCATTGATGGCCAACTGGACAGTGTCTACTGATCAAAGGATTGTATCATAGGTGAACTATCGGTTCAATTTCTACAGAAGTGTACTTAGGGCTTCTCAGTTGCCATGAAAATCCAGTACAAGAACTATACAGCATCTGAAAGACTCAATGATATTTCATTCGAGCAATGATTCTCTAAGCATTTACTGCTATATCTAAGTACAGTGAATATTCTTGAAGTATTAATATGATTGGGTTGTGCAACCGCCAGATATACACAGAGAGAATTATAAATTTAAAACTTACTATTATGGGAATTTTCTCTTTGGGTTTTACTAGTTGCTTTGCCAACAGATACTGTTCAACTCCAGGTTTTGCAAATCCAGGAAATCTAATCAGAGAAATAAAGTGACTGACTCCTTCTTTCAGAGGATCTTTGCCAGATTCAGAAATACCAGCCATATTTACAAACAGTGGACTTTCTAACAAGAGTAATGTAACTATTACTAAAATAATTATGCCAAAACGATCTAGTTACAAACTGTTCCAGAACTGCATATGGAGTATATAAATCATCAGCTATCATGACACCATCTCTGATTGGCTGAATTCAACCAATCAGAAAAAACAATGCAGAATATCAGTTAGTACCAACTGCCGCTACAGTCTGAAAGGCTTCTGAATTCCTTTCTAACATTAGATAAATTGACAACTTACATTTTACAGTTCAGACTAAATGGGCACTAGCCAGAACCATCATCCCATATACGCATGAAAAAAGCCTTGTCCTTTCATTTCCTAACTTGCCAAACAGACCACACTCCTGATTGTGCTGTAAGCTTAAAAAAGTATTTCCAGAGTTGAAGTAGCAGGTATCAAAGAGTCAGGATCTGAAGCCGTGACAGAACTCTAATTAGTGACACGTTTGTAAAATGCAGGATGGTTCACAGTGCAAAGGCCTGAAGGACCAGGATCAAACCTGTAGGTATTTGCAAGGACTGGAGCCTGTGTGATCATGCAGAATCACTGGGAGCTCTGGAAGGCTCCCCAAAAGGATTCCCTGTGCTGACCAACATCTGTGTTGCTCAGCTTAACTGCAGCAACATGGACCCTTGTGCTACTGCATCATGTCCCTGATACTGCTTCTAGTCTTGATGTGTCCTTTACTATGCCTTAACTCTTGACTGCTCCTGACTATTCTTGCTTTTGATATGATCCCCACCTTACCAGATACCTAATCTTTGCCTGATTGTCCCTACAATGCCTTGGTGGTATCTGATCCTTGTCTGCTTATTGTCTTTGTCTCTGGGTCTGTCATGCCTTGCTGGACATTTGACTTTGCCTGTATCTGGTTCTACCTTCACCTCTGGACCTGCCACGCCTTGCCACTTATCTGAGCCTTACTTGTTCCCCACTTCGTCTTTGCTTCTGATCCCTGTGACTTGATGGTATCTGACCCTTTGCCTCTGGTCCTACTGCATAAGTACTAAGTATTTCATCCACCTCCATCATCCCTAATCCTGGTGCTTCAACCATTTGCTGCCTGTATCCAGGAACTGAGACAATGCAGTACTGGGTAGCTAGATCAAAGAAACCTGCAGTTAGGGGGAAATGTATCTAAAAGCCTTCTGGGAAAACAGAACTAGGGGCATGCTTCTCTCAATAAAGGCCAAAGCTAAAGTGTTAAGATATTTAACTGCACTGTGCCACTGTCTCCAAAAAATGAGAGAGTGAGTAAGCTATATAGTCTAACAGTTATTTGAACAGTTGTATGATACTACCTGAGGGTCACAGACATTTTAGTTTAGCTTTTTCATATGGGAGAGATGAACAATTCCAAATTAAGTATGCACATTTCTTTGAAAATACAATTTTGATTTAGGAAGTTACAAGGAGTAAGCCCTGTTTTTCTGCTTTTTTCAGCTGAATTTCTGAGAATCTCCTTCCACAACAAGTGCATTATTTGCATACGTCATAAAAATAAGCAAATTATAATCACGGCAAATTCTTAGCTTCTAAACTAATTTCCTCATTGCTTTTTTAAGCCATTCAGAATAGCAAGGTTTACTTGTTAAGTGGTATTTTCATAGCAGGTCCACGGCTATTCCCACGCTGAAGCCCTGCTGGGTCAGAAGGCTCTGTTTCTTTATAACCAGGATAGGGTGCAGCTGTTGTTTTGGGTTCATCCCAGTCATCATCCCAATCATCATCATCAGCAGCTGCTAAAGAGGAAAAGACACAGATTGTATTTCTAGAATGAAAGTCACATATGCACACTTTGTAAGTATGGGGAACAAAGGAACAGAGGAAGCTGCTCTATACCGAGCCAGGTAACTGGGACATCTAACTCAGGACTGTCAATACTGACAGGCAGTAATGCTCCAGAGTTTCAGGCAGAGTTTTTTCCTGCCATGCCAGGAGATGCTAAGGATTGAACCTGGGACTTTTTGCATGAAAAGCATGCACTTTGCCACTGAGCCCCTCCCATGTGACTGACATTGCTCAGTTTAGTATGTCTCCTAATGTGACATTCACACAAAGTTGTTAACAGTAAATAGCATTCTCAAGCACAAATGTATAGCATTTTAAGGAAACTCCAATTGGCAAACGTACAATTCACCATTTCAGTGTCCTATTATTAACAGAATGTGTGTAAAGAATCTGCTGTCCATTTCTGTGTATGTTTACCCTATATTAGCAGAATTCTGAAATAAACTGCAAGCCAGTTTCTTTTTTTTTTAATTCTCTTGAATCTCAGTACCTCTTGTAATAATCCATACCAATTACAGAAACTCTCTGCTGACCTGGACCTTGATAAGCTTGTGGATGGCCAAATGCTGTTGTATCCCAGTTATTTGAAGTGCTATTTTTCTGTTTAGTTTCAGGTTTTGTTGCCCAGCTATCAGCAGCTGTTGTATTGTCCCAGCTTGACCAGGGGTCATTTGCATTGCTAATAACCTATGTCAAAAAAAGAAAAGAGGAAGAACATCCATATTATTAAGAAAGAGCACTAGTAAAAAGTAAACTAACCAGTGATCTTTGATTAGTGATTAGGACAAACTTGCCAACAAACAGAACATATATGTAGCAACCACTGGGAACAGAAAAGCTCTTTTGTGAATAATATTACTTAGCTGCCAATGAAACTCTACCCTCTCAATCTGAGTCTGCTTTAAGTTTGTGAAGGGGAAAGAAAAACACTGGCCCACCCCATACTGGAATACTGACAAGTTCTTAATAAACATATCTAGAACATATATCTACTTTCTATACATGGAAACATATTCAATTTCAATACTCCAATTAATGAGTGAGCAAGCATCACTGAGGCTTAAGGGTCTGCATATGTACAGAAAACAGTAGGCAACTTATGGCCTCCAGTTGTTTTGGCTTACAATTCCCATCAGCCTAGCAAACATAACCAATAGTGATGAACTCTGGGAGCTGTAGACCAAATCATCTGATGTGCTATAAGTTGCTTGCTTCTGCTCTAGAATCTATAGTAACAAACTTGTTCTTTAAAACAAAATTATTCTTTTTTTCTATATGATTTAGAAAGGTGAAATTTGGTATACATCTACAGGCAGTCCCCAAATTATGAACATCTGAGTTACAAACAATCCATACTTATAAACAAACTACCATCAAGCCTATTAATTTAACAGTTCACAGTAAGACCTCCTCCAGGAAATGGTCATCATAAAGAGAGAGAAAGCAGAATAGGAGAGAATAAAGGCCTCCAAAGCAGACCTTCTTACCCTGCCCATCAGAAGAGGGAAATCCTTCTGGCATTTCCTTGCTGCAAAGAGGAGGCCCTGCTGAGTTTGGGCAAGGAGAGGGCCTAGAGGTAGTCACAATTTTTCTACTTTCATGGCCATCCTGTGCTCCTAATTCCTGCGAATGTGGAGGGCCAACTTACATACAAATTCAACTTGAAAGTGAATTTCCATTTTCTCAGGAATGGAACACATTTATAACCCAGGGACTGCCTGTACCACAGGAAACTGATTACTAAGAAATAAGTCTGTAAATTGTACAAGTCTGTAAATTGCACAAACAGCAGAGTATAAAATTATCTCCATATAAGGTGAACAATTGATAGATGGTAGAAAACAAAATGACACATAGAGTATGTTGCTCTAAGGAAATTCTTACTGGGACAACAAATGATGCACAGGGAGGAAAGATAATCTCTAGTACTAAAGCAAATGAATATGGATACGGATAAGGGACACACATTTTACTTTCTAGTATATACAGCTGCGAATGCATACAGACTAAAAATATGAAATAAGTTGCTGATTACCCAACTTGGGTCAAATATCTCTCAACTTTCAAGTAAGAAGCAGCCTATCTTAATCAATGCATTTATTCAACTTTTTAAAAACAGGTGTTCAGATAAGCATGACAAGATAATAGGGTGTATGAGGATGGGTGGAGGGGAGAAATGCAATTCAGACAATGTACAAATATGTATGAACCTTTTGCTCATGCAAAGGAGCTTCATGGGAACTACACATGAACCACAATGTAAATGATGATTGCTCACAGACTTACTGATTTAAATGCAGGAGATAGGAGTAAAGGGCCTATGTCACAGGCATTATGTCGGTGCATATTTTGGTTTAATAAGCCAGAAGCATCATCTGCACACAGCCAAAAGCCACTGTTCCAAAGACTGAACTCATATGCATCTAGTATGCCTGTGTGGAAACAGTACCTCTCAGCTACAAACCGTATTCATTAGAATGCCAGTGAACTTACACAAAGTTACTGTAGAGAGGGGGGCAGCTCTCTCAAGTTACAGTTTCCCCAGATGGATTAGTCAGGTTTAGAGGAGGAAGAAGAGGAGGGACGGAGGTATGCAGATGACTTTGCAGTTGCAAGATTACAAAGTGAAGACACAAAGAGCATGAAAAACAGCCTGCCTTGAAAAGGAGCAAGACATTTCAGAACAGGGTGGGGTGAAACTGAGGGGAGTTCCTGGATCCTGTAAGGAGACGACAGGCAAAGTGAACAGAGTAATTAAGAAGTGCCCAATATTCCCACAATCTAGCCCGCAAGCAGCAGCAGCCACCACAAGAATGGAGCCAGTATTCTTCTGAAAGGGAGGGAAAGAGTGTTTCCATTTGGATTCCATTTTAGAAGCACTATGCTTCTAAAGTTTCTTCTAAGTCTGGAGAAAAGTGGGAGAAGGAAAACTGGGGGAGGGTCCTACTCACAACAGCTACTATAAAATAGGTGTATTATGTAGGCAATAACATGCAGCAGGACGTGCTATTTACCCATTGATGGAACTATGTTCAGTTAATACTCAACAAAAATGTTTTCATACATATTGGATTATAATATGGAATATGGACATATGAAATTGCTTGTTCAGAGAAATTAGGTCATGCAAGCTACCTGAATGCAACATTTGGTTTTCATGGAACACCATGGCAAAAAAGATGCATAGTGCAGAAATACTTATGTGCTATATTACTGTATCCATTCACAGATCAGGCTGTCATCATACATTACACTGGCAGCAAGTGAGCTGTAGCAGCACAGGTTCTCCTATAGCACGGAGGAAGATAATCACACCTATGGAATTACAGTCAATTGACCATAGCTAGCTAGCTATATTCATAATTATAAAATTCAATTCTTGCAACTTTAGAGCAGGGGTGGACAACTTGTGACTTTCTAGATGTTGCTGGACTGCAACTCCCACCATCTCTCACTACTGGATATGCTATTTAGGGCTAATGGTTATTACAATCAAACAAGATCTGGAGGGCCCTAAATTGTCCATCTTAGCTCTTGACTGATACAGTCTTACTTGATTATATTTGAAGAGTATATTTTACCACTGAATATTCAGTAATCTGCAATGAAATCCATCAATTAGAAAACTTTTCCAACAACATCCATGTACTACAACACCTATTTTGATTGTTTAGTATGTACTGTGTAGACATCTTCGTCTAATAGCTAAATAAGACCCAAATCTTATGTGTCAAATATTCCTCCAAAAGGGCTGGAAAGTCTGTAAGTATGGTTAAGAAGCATTTGTACATGGCTCTGTGCAAGAGTGGTGTAACAAAGAGGCACCCACATTTCATTACACTGACATGTTCAGAATCCTTTTTTTGTCCAGCATGAGAGACGATCATGATATCAGCCACGGCCCACCTTGCTCTCTTCAGAACGAAATGCATGAAATTGCACGGCACAACAATGAACCTGCATCTATTACTTGTATCACCCCGTGCTGAACCTACGAAGCTGCTTTGCATTAAGTCATACAATTAGTCTAGCTCTAGCCCATTCACTTCACCCAAGCATATATAGTGAAAAGGAGCATATAGCAGATAATGGAAAGATAAGTGCCTAAGACCCCTGAGAACTGCTACTCGTCAGAGTAGCCAATTCTGAACTGAACCAAAGGTCTGACTCCATATAAAGCAGTTTCATATGTTAATTACCCTCAAATTAGGCAGAAAGGTTGAAGAGAGCCTTCATTATGCAACCAAAAAGCATCAGTTTTTGAATGAAGTTCACAGGCCATTGCTTGTGCAACCCCTATCATTAGGCAGTAACAAATTTATCTACTAAGAAAGTATATGGAGGTGGGAGAAGGGTAAGCTTTCTAAGACATGACCTGTGATTTGCTAACAAATGTAAACATTTCTACATCCCTTTTGGACATGAAAGAATATATGAACCCATCTCAAAGACCAACAAGGAAGAATGCTTGTATTTAAGAACTTTTCAAGAAAGAAACCCCTAAGCCAAAGCAATAGTTTGGGGTTGCTATGGCTAATTAACGGGATTTGTCAGACTGGTAAAACCTTCACATATTTAAACTGAGACATCAAAAAATGTAACAGCATGTCATAGAATCTTTTTAAAAACCTCATTTTTAATACAGACATACAATAACACCTTCTAGCATTAACACAAACAAAATAAAAACTGCTTTAAAAATAGTGACTTCCTCAAGAATCTTAGAAAATGAGAATATAGTCCTATTAGTTCTGCTTATCTTCACAAAATACTTAGCATGTATCAATGTCTGAATACATAAATTTCTATCATGCCTAACTTATGCATCTGTTCCTAGATGTTAGAAGTAAAGATTATAATAAGATTTGCAAGTGACAATCCACAAAGTGTTAAAAAGAGATCAAGTGGTTTGGAAGTTACCTTTCTTGTTGAAGGTGGAGACTGAGCAAAAATTTCCAAAATAGCTGTGTGAGTGGGAGATGCCAGAAAATCCACCTTAAAAATAAGAAGTTCTCAGTAAAGGAGGAAAAAGAAGCAGTAAGGAAAACCTGCAGGAGTTAATAGCCCAGCAACACAGGCTGATTCCTACAGGAAAGACAAATTACTGAAAAGTTCGCATGCCTCATAACCAGAAGTAGCAGGCATGCAAGCAGAAGCTGTTTTCTGAATAGAACAGAATTTTGCTCTATAGCATTCAGATAATAGAAGCAAAACTTTTGAAAAAATACACTGAAGTAAAACCATGCCTCCAACCAAGCTTTTAGAAGCCAAATATCACCCTTCGCTACAAAACAACACAGAAAATGCTTTCTGATCTATTTACAAATCTTAATTTACAGATTGAGAACTTAATCTATAGGGCTTCACACTAATTTTCACACAATTGCTGAACAACCCAGTCTTAAAGTGTTTCCATGACAAGGGTGCCACTGAATTCATACTGTTATTGCTATTCCTCTATGGAAACATCACTGCATTTTTATTTTGAAGGCTACAACACATAAATTTTCACTCATTCATTCCATTGGTAGTGTTATGTGCATCTGAGATTGTGAAAAGAACATGCATGGATAGGATATGAAGGGAGTCTGTGGCCACATGCAACTGAAACAATCAGAATCATTCAACAGTATTTAGTTGAAGGAGTTAATCAAAAAACAGAAATGATCAAGAAAAGACTGAGTCCA